TTCTGACTGCTGCTACTACAAGTGCAAGTGTTGTGTTGTTGTTACCACAAACAAACCTGTAGTCTGCGCAACTCCTGCTTTGCACGGGCTCTGGATGTAGTGAAAAGCTCAAGGCCTGCGGTCATGAACACGCAATTTAACCCAGCTACACCAACACACAGGTACAAGCTACAGCCGCCTCTCTTCGACGTCAGCTACCGCAAGTAGGAACAGGTTCATTGCCCACGTGGCTCTGGAGCACTATGAGTACTTTCCACTTCTACAATCATCGGAAGCATCTATCACAGCACTAGATGAGGCAACGCTATGCAAAGCGCTACACGCAAGTGGCACGACCTCCACTACATCCTAATCAACGTATGCTCAGGTGCTGCGAGTACGCTAGTACTGATCTGTTGGGTGCCTGACCCACCTACTCGAGCCAAATTTCGATGACAAGAGCTTCGAGGAGACCTTCCTACGTTGCGCGCACGACCTTGCTCGACACGAGGCCAACAACACATCAGAGCCACCTGACGGACTCAAGATTGCGGTTCTCCTCAACGCAGGAACAGCTACGAAGAGATGAGGTTCATTGTGATAGAGTGCTACCGAGCTACCTCAGCAGAAGCTCAATTGCGTGCGGACACTACAGCAAGGGCGCCTTCGGATGTAGCAACACCCAGACCCATGGACATTGGCGCCAACGACTACGGCAACAAAGGCAAGAACAAAGACAAAGGCAAAGGAAAGAAAGGCAGAAGCAAAGGCAAAGGAAAGAAAGGCAGAAGCAAAGGCAAAGGAAAAGGAAAAGGAGGAAAAGGAAAAGGCTACAAAAATCAGAGCTAACGTGTTCAGCTCGAAGGGAAATAAATATAGCAAAAGCAAAGACAAAGGAAACTACAATGGAAAAGGAAAGTCTACAGGAAAAGGTGAAGGAACCCAATGCTACAAGCAATACGCACCGGATTGCAGAGCGCCTATCTACGAGGAGAGGAACAGACAACACCTATCGTTGGCTACGACCCGAACTGGCACTCCGTTGGCCACCGCCAAGACGACGCCAACATTCAGAGTTCGACCGCGACCTCCAGCATCCAATCAGCAGCCTGCATCCACATCGCCGCAGCCCTACCAGATCGGAGGACATGCACACCTTGCCTGACGGCGCTACTTCGACACACTGCAAGCCCACGAATGCTAGGACTTGACTACATCCTGATTGACCCAGGAGCAGCTACTCGTGTTTGTCCTCCAGAACACGCTGACTGGTTCCCACGCGGAGCATCCTTCTTTGCTTGGCAGTTGAACAGCAAGGAACTGCGCTCTGCGCAGTACGCAGTGATGATGGGCAAGCTCCTACATCACAAGCCAATGAAGGAGCTCGTCTCATCATGGCAACAATGGACTACTGGCGTATCTGTGCAAAACACATCTTGGAGGAAATCTACTGGTGAAGATGCGATGACAACTACCCCGACGTCACGAAGAAGGAGAAACAAGACTGATACCAGGAGACCAGCAAGTACGGCATCCTCTCAATCCCCTGCTGCAGGACTTAAGACGAGGGACAACGTCGAGACTACCACTGCGCAACTCTGTGTGGAGTCAGCACGACCTCCGCTACTACCACAACGAGAAGCCCATCATTGAGACTGCTAAAAGCATGTCCTTCCACGCAGACGCTTGTTCCTGCTCATGGACCAGGCAATCCCCTGCGCAGTCTGGAATCTTATCGCGCCACTCTTGCAACGGACGTCGCTACGCATGAGGTGCATCAGATCAAGCCATCTTACACCAAGAAGGATGTCGAATCAGGACTACCAGGACCAGATGCGGGATTCCTCAGGAAGCAAGGATGCCTACAAGAACAGTGTCTCGACAACCAGTCATATAGGTTTCGCGTACTGCACTACCACCACAGAGTCTATGGCTGTGATGACTGCTTGACATACAAACACAGATGTGCATAGCTGTCACGGTGCCAGTCTACACACATCGAGTACACGGCACACTGAACAGCGTGGTCATCGTCGTAGTAGAAAAGATCGGCAACATGGCGACAAGGACTTGCACGCCCTTTGTGACAAGTTAAAGCCCTACGCGACGAATTACACTCTGTATATAAAGCGACGGTCAACAACTCTCATCCAGTTCTGCCTTGGGCGGTGGACACGCAGCCCGGGGTCTCATTCCACTTGGTCCACTCGGACGGACTGACCTCCTACCAGAGAACATGAGAACGATCCTGCAAGCATGCAATCTGCAAATTTGGAGGGCGCATGCTCTACATCCAGCGAAACGTCTAGACCTCCCTACAGAAAGGTCAAGCACGCACCATTAGACGACTACAGGCCGACTTCGGCACCGAAGTCCACAACGTCACGAGGCCAGTTTCACACTACCTCCAACTATGAGTGGCAACCTCAACAAACACCACTACTGAAGAGTGGATCCTGCACCTGATCCAGGATTGACTCATCAGCCATCGGCATCTACTGTGGCATCGTCCCAATCTGCAGCTCCAACTCCTTCAGGACCTATGGCAACAACAGCCAGCTTTCCGTTCTACGACGACCGTTAGAAGAGTCCACGATAAGATATACTAAGGTTGCGCATCTTGATGGCCCAGATGGAGGCATGAGCTGCTGAAAGAGGCCATGAACAAAGAGATGGCGGACATGAAGCTACATGATGTCTACGGGGAAGTGACGGTGGAAAGTCTACCTTCTGAGACGACTCTTACGCAAATGGGGTCCTGGATAGTGGCAAGGAGCTACAACGAGAAGGTTGATGACAGTGACCGCATCTACGCATCTACACCACTATTTGTCATCCTTCGGCTACTTCTGGTACTAGCACGCACCAGGTTGGAAGATCCGCTTTTGTGATGTCTCTACAGCATTCGTACATGCTCGAATCACCTGCCTGTTCACCTACCTATGGCCACCAAAGGAGTGCTCTGCCCGAATGACAGACTCTGCCCGAATGACAGAACTCTGTGAGACTGAAAAAGGCGATGTGTGACTGCGATCAAGCCCTAAAAATTGGCAATATCACTTCGCGAAGAGTATGAAGGACTTAGGACTACGACGTCGCATTGCTGAGGCGAACGTCTATGTCAATGCTGCCTCAGACGTCTTCATCGTGGTGTACGTTGATGACATCATGATAATCGGCGACCCTACCAAGGTGGACCCAGCAGAAAATTCTACTAAAGGATACCGTGGACAAGTGGAAGGTGAAACGCAGAGTTTCCTTGGACGACTGATCACCAACTGTGGCAACTACATGAAAGCTACATCGAGGACCAAATGTAGTTCGGCTACTACGCCAGGAACCTGTACAAACAAGCACACCTTCGAAGATCCTACCAGGCCAGACATTGCGTGCTCTACAAAAGAGCTTGCTAAAAGTCGTCAACAACCTACATCTCATGACTGGAAGTAGCCTCAGTCCTTGAGCCAGAACACACTGAGGTGCCCAGGACGTAGATCATGAAGCCCGAAGTCCCAATCCCAATCCGTAGACATCCATGGGAATCGCCACGATGTCAAGCGCGCAGAATGAGCTCTACCACGGCATTGAAGAAAACACAAACACATCGACGTACGCTTTCTCTACACTCGGGCACTTGCGGGCGATGGTTGCATCAGCATACATAAGCTACACACTGTACAAAACGCAGCAAACATCTTTACCGACTACACCTCGCGCGAAACGCTCAACCGACTGCTACATGCAGTTGGACGGCAACCCTAGCACGCTGCAAACAACAACGCGTGTCACCAGAATTGAGCTACAACCAGCATGAGCCGGCACAAACACGTTTCCTTTGCTACTACATGACGTGATTCATGTCCGTATACACGATCATTTACATCTTGTTCGGGAACCCATTTCTACTTCCGAGTCTTTGGATCCCTACTGTCCGAAGTACACACCAGGACTTGTAGCCATCCAAAGTCATGGGATTCGGCTGCCCAGAGAGTCATTGTTGTGGCCATAGCTTGTAGATTGGGCAAGAATCGTGGAGGCTGGCTCTCAAAAGTAGACGGCAATCACACAATCGTAGGTACAAGAATCAGAAGACCCAATGCGCAAAACGTTGAAACGGGAAGTTGATATTCAAAGAAATGCTGGCAGCTTTCTCTACCTCTACCACTATGTGGTCAAGCATGTCAATGTGTTGTTGTTCTTCGTACAAGTGGTTCGACGCATCTTTGAGGACATGTCTACCATCTAAAACCAGTTCTGCTGGCCCAACTTCGTGTGGGACACAGTACCCAAACGCTCACGACGACGCGCGCAACCTCATGAACATTACCAAGTTCGAGATTCATTCTACAAACTACCGGCACACGTCTGAGGTTTGCCACAAAGCAATCACTTCACTAGCATCCTACTACGGCTACTACATCTACAAGGCAATGGGTACTCCGGAGCGAGTCGGGACTACATGACCCGCTACCGCTTCTAACACTCCCTACACCCATCTGCAAGGCAACCCGCAATTCGAGGCCGTGGGATCTACTCAGGGCTGAGATCTACGATCTAAAACGAGGCACTGCTGCAGAACCAGTGCAACTACTGATTTGTTTGTCTTTGTGAGTTGGTGTGCAAATGGCATCTACTGTTGTCAGGAGTCTTTCTTGTTCTACCAATTGTGTAGGAGCCCTACCTTTTCTGCACCAATCCCTACCTCTGTGGGATAGTTTATGATTGCTACTTCCATCTACTCTTTTGGGTGGCCACTTCTCACTCATTCGTACTTTGTTCTGAGGGGGCGCGCTAAGAAACATGCTACTTTCCTGTTGCTACATCCTTGTACATACAGGCCTTTCGTTTGCGAGCACTGTGACCTCTCTCTCTTTCTCTCTCCTTTTTTTCTCTTCTCGTTCTCTCTCTTTTTCTCTTCTGTGTCTTCTCCTCTCTCGCCTCTCTCTCTCTCTCGACATCGCTCTCTGTCTCTCTCTTTGGTATTTGGGTCATAGCTGCCTTTATCCGGTTTTAGAACGCGCCTCAGAGCCGCACCGAGCAGACACCGCACGAGCACTGGACAATGCAGACGGCGGCCTGCGTGCCGGACATCGGGCAATCTCAGCTGATCCTGTGTAGCGAGCCTGTGAGACGGCAAAGGGATTGACAAGTGCGGCTGTCCTGCAAGGGCTGAGGCGGCAAACCAAGCTCCTTGCCTGCCTGCCCTGCCTGCCTGCCTGCCTCGCTCCTTTCACAGCTTCGCACGCACCAGGCCCTTCCACATAGCCGCTGCCAGCAACACTGCTACCTTGACACAGCTTGCACTTCCAGGCCCTGCAAAAAACAAAGTGGGTGGCGCAACAGCCAAAGCTGAACTGCAGCTACGGCACACGTTGTAGAGATGGCAGCTGATATAGCGCTACTTTGCGATGAGACGCCCCGAAAACCAGCAGCCTAGCAATTTGGACAGGCTTGGAGGCTCTGGAGGCCCTTGAGCGGGTCTTGCCTGTGCATCTTCCTTGCCTTGCGCAAATGCAGCACGGAATGGCGGGGCTGCAAGTGAAGCATTGGCGCCTCCACGTCCGGCTTTGTTCGTCGGATCTGCGCCAGCTTTCGCTTGAACCTCCTACGGGCAGCCAAGCGCCCTCAAAAAGTTGACACATGACGGCGCGGCTGCACGAGATTTTGCAACGGCTGCCCAACTGAGTGCCAAGCCAACCTCTGTCACAGCGACCGCGAGCACAGTCGCTATCAATTTGAAACCACGGTCTGTTGTTCTTGAGTGATTCTTGCAAAACTCCGGGTCAGTTGCCGACAATGCCTGCCCTGTTCTCAAAAGGTGCAGGAAGAATCTTTGAAGACAAACACACTCGGCCTGCACGTCAGGGCGTGGCTCCGCAGTGTCAAGCTGCACATGCTCATGCCTGCGACAGTGCGATCAGACACTGTATGTTTGTGCGCGCGCAACACGCAAGCAAGGCGAAACTGCCGTCCAATACTGCGCAAGGCGCCTATTATGCACCTTGCCCGCACACAGGATTGGGGATCCCACGCGCGGATACATCATACCTTACCCAACGAACTTCAAAACGCACGCCTCGCGTCTCAAACGTCCCTGGCTGGCCACACCAGGCTGTTGCGGGCGGCCGAAAGATATGTATATATATATATGTGTGTGTGTGTGTGTATCTATGTGTACATAAAGATACATGAATGATATATATATATATATATATATTTATATATATACATGCATACTCACCGACTTACCATTGGCCGGCGCCCCTCACAAAAAAAACACACAAAAAGCACCACTGGTGAAGCCAAGCCGACTTTGCAGCACCAATGCCCCAGAACGATGCCAAGGCCCCACGCCAGTCAAACTCCTTCTGCAACTTGGCGCGCTCCTGCGCATATTCCGGACCGCCCTTGCAGATGATAGTTGTAAGCACCGACGCCGTGTGAAAATGAGCAAGTCTCCAATCAGTCTGTGTGGCCGTGGCTTCCATTTTCTGGTCCTGCCAAAGTGCCAGGGCTGCGAACGCATCATGCAGCAAGGAAAGGCCGCGTCCGCTTCCGCAACTGAACCCGCACGAAGGCTGCGCTCGAACCTTGTCGAACATGACAGGGCCGAGCTGGGCACAGGACTGACACACAATTGGCGCTGCGCTCCTAACAACGTGTCACGCAGCCAAGGCCCGTGCTGAAATCGAAGCACAGCAGCATGGTCCAACCTATGCAAAGCCAAGCCTGCCCGACATGGCAGCAGACAGACCAAGGCCAGAGCAAACACTTGACATGCTCCTCGCTGTCGACTCCCATTTTCAGAAGGCCATCTTGCGTCAGGTGCACAAGTTGAACTCCGTCAATGCCAGCCTGAAGGCAAGCGTCACCGCGCTGCATCAAACGAACATGCCCTTGCACGTTTCGAAGCGCCGTCGCCTCAACGAACTTGCGCGCGTACGGCAAGCGCAGGCACTGTTCAATCCAGGCGGCCACGTCTTCGACCGTCCAGTGGGTGACGGTTGCCATCCTAGGCGTTGCCGGCCATTCAATCGTTGTTTGGTTGCTGTTGCCGAATTTCATGGGTCAGGTCAGTTCGTTCCGGATTTGGGTGTTTTAAGGTCCTAAAAAAGAACAAGGGTTTTTTACTCAAACTTAAGGGTTTGCCAAAACCAAAACAACACAGATTTTGCAGCAAACCTCAAAGTGTACTATTGATGCCAGTTTCCTCCAAACAAGAATCAATTTGATTTTTTGGGAGGGGACCAGGCCGGTTTTGCGCGCTAAGCCTTCGGGGTAAGACAGCTTGACGCGCCTGCTGAAAGGGGTTTTTGGTCGTCTAAACAGAAATGAGTCTTGGCCGCCAAGAGGAAAGGGCTTGAACTGTTTTTCGGGAAAAACTTCACTATAAGAGCAAAGTGTGTTGTTCTTGAGCCCAAATTCTGCTCGCGTTTTGGCTAGATTCTGGGCTTGCAATTGCAAGTGTTCACAAAGAAAGCAGTGACCTCCAACAAATCCTGCATGGGCTTTGGCCACACACTACATAATGCGGAGCAGAACTGTTTTTCTTGGTAGGCGTTTCTCAGAGGCCCCAGGCTCCCCGTGAACCAACTCCGGACAAACTCCCGAACAAACTCCGAACGAACTCCGAACGCCGAACGAACTCCGAACGAACTCCGAACGAACTCCGAACGAACTCCGAACGAACTCCGAACAAACTCCGAGCAAACTCCGAACACACTTTGGCCATAAGTATGTGTTTGAGCCACTGTTGTTTTTCGGGCTTACCAAAAGAGGCCAAGCGATAACAGGGGCCAGTTTCAACACGTGGCCTGGGAAGGCGTTCAGGGCTGGATTTCTCGCTGTTGAAGCTGAAGCAAAGCTTACTCTTTTTGATCAAGACTTGATCCGGGCAAAAAACCTTATTCAAAAACAAGAGCTTAAATTCAACACCGGTGTTGAACTTAAGGGTTTGCCCGCTTTTTTGTAAGGGCTTGCCCGATTTTGGTTGTATGAAATAGCTGTTTTTTTGCATGATTAACCTGGATTAAGCATGATTTCAATGTTGTTTTTGCTCTGGTAAAACGGAATTTGTACGAAAAACGCCTCACCAAGCTGTAATTCCAGTGTTTTTGCACGACCAAAACCCAAAAAGTTCAACACCTAAAGAAAAAATAAGCTCCAAAAATTGTTTAAGGCCACAGTTCGTTCGGAGTTCGTTCGGAGTTCGTCCGGGGCAAGAATTAAGCCCCGACAAAAATCATAAGCAAAAATCAAAGCCTGAAAAAAAACGAGCAAAAAAACAAAACAAAGCCGAAAAACTAAAACTTGAGGTCGAAACACAAAAATCAGCTCCCCCAAAGAAACATATGGCCAAAGTTTGTTTGGCGCTTGTCCGGGAGGTAAATCCAGCCCGAAAGATGCATAACAGGAAAATCAAGTGACCAAAAGAACTAATTTCAACAAGTGGCCTGAGAACATGTTTGTTTGCCTCAAAAAGCACCTTCCCAGGCCACTTGTTGAAACTGGCCCCTGTAATCATGGCCTCTTTTGGAAAGCCCAGAAACACGGAAAAAAACAGCTTGGCCACCAAAATACTCAGGCTCAAAAAAATACTTAGGGACGGCCAAAGTGTGTTCAGAGTTGGCTCGGGAACAATGCCAAAGTTCGCTCGGAGCTTGCTCGCTTCGCCCGGAGTTCGTTCGGAGTTCGTTCGGAGTTCGTTCGGAGTTTGTCCGGAGTTTGCTCGGAGTTCGGTTGGAGTTCGTTCGGAGTTCGTTCGGAGTCCGGAGTTCGTTCGGAGTTTGTTCGGAGTTTGTTCGGAGTTCGTTCGGAGTTTGTTCGGAGTTTGTTCGGAGCTTGTTCGGAGTTGGTTCACGGGAACCTGGGGCCTCAACGTTCTGCTCCGTATTATGTTGTGTGTGGCCAAAACCCTAAAAAATGTGCCCATGCAGGATTTGTTGCAGGTCACTGCTTTCTTTGTGAAAACTTGCAATTGCCGCAATTGCAAGCCCAATCTGCCAAAATGTGAGCAGAATTTGGGCGCTCAGAACAGCGTATTTTGCTCGTGCAGAATAGGCGGTTTCATAGGTAAGTTTTTCCCGGAAAACAATTCAAGCCCCTTCCAATTGGCGGCCAAGACTCATTCTTGCTTAGATGCCCCTAAGCCCCTTTCGGCACGCGCATCAAGCTGCCTTAATTACCCTTAAGCTTTTTTGGTGGTGAAACGAATTCCCCACGCAAATTCCCGAAAGCATGGCGAAGGGTTCTTCCGCTGGGTTCACTTGAGTTGTTCTCATGAGAGTCATTACAAGGTGTCATTGCAAGGAATCAGCATCATGAAAGTCATTGCAAGGAGTCATTGCAAGGAGTCATTGCAAGGAATCATCATCATGAAAGTCATTGCAAGGAGTCATTGCAAGGAGTCATTGCAAGGAGTCATTGCAAGGAGTCATTGCAAGTCATTGCAAGGAGTCATTGCAAGGAGTCATTGCAAGGAGTCATTGCAAGGAGTCATTGCAAGGAGTCATTGCAAGGAGTCATCATGCAAGGAGTCATTGCAAGGAGTCATTGCAAGGAGTCATTGCAAGGAGTCATTGCAAGGAGTCATTGCAAGGAGTCATTGCAAGGATTGCAACTTGCACTTGACTCCTTGCAATTGCAACTTGCACTTGACTCCTTGCACTTGCAACTTGCACTTGACTCCATGCACTTGCAACTTGCACTTGACTCCATGCACTTGCTCTTGCACTTGGCTCCTTGCACTTGGCCCCTTGCACTTGCAACTTGCACTTAACTCCGTGCACTTGCGACTTGCATTTGACTCCATGCACTTGGCTCCTTGCAACTTGCAATGGCTCTCATGACTCCTTGCAATGACTCCTTGCAATGACTCCTTGCAATGACTCCTTGCAATGACTCCTTGCAATGACTCCTTGCAATGACTCCTTGCAATGACTCCTTGCAATGACTCCTTGCAAACTCCTTGCAATGACTCCTTGAAACAAGCAAGGAGTCAAGTGCAAGTTGCAAGTGCAAGGAGTCAAGTGCAATTGACTTGCGAGGAGTTAAAATCTCTTCTTAGGGCGGCGGGGTAGTGCCGACGACACTACACGAAAATCGACCCTCTGCGGGGATCGGCGTGGTCGAGGTGACCCATGTTTTTTTTTTGCGTTTCTAAAGGCGACCCTCTGCGGGGATCGGCGTGGTCGAGGTGCAAAAACCCATGGTTTTTTGCGATTTCTAAAGTGCTCGCGCGACCCTCTGCGGGGATCGGCGTGGTCGAGGTGCAAAAACCCATGGTTTTTTGCGATTTCTGCGGTGCCCGCGCGACCCTCTGCGGGGATCGGCGTGGTCGAGGTGCAAAAACTCGAGGTTTTTTGCGATTTCTGCGTTTGCGCAACGGTGCGGTTCGGCGTGGTCGAGGTGCAAAAACTCGAGGTTTTTTGCGTCTTTTGTGGTTCGAACTGGTCCTCGGGAGTTGTCTCGTGGTTCGAGCGCCTGCTCCCGGAACCGGCGGGTCGCGGGTTCGATTCCTCCCTGGTCCGCGGGCGGGCGTCGCAAGATGCAACTTGCATTTTAAAGCAACTTGCGCAGAGCAACTTGCGCAGAGCAAGTTGCACAGAGCAACTTGCGCAGACCAACTTGCACCGACCAGTTTGCGCAGAGCGCCTTGCCTAGAGCAACTTGCGCAGAGAAACTTGCGCAGAGCAACTTAGCTTTCGGGCCAACCGTGGTCTAGTTGGGTAGTGTTTTTTTGTTGGTGCTCGGGGCCTATACACTGCACACATGCCTACGCGAGTGCCTACGCAACGCCTCCGCGACAGTAAATCGCGCGCCGCTTTTTTCCAGCTCGAGCTTTGCAACGCCAAGTCAATCGTTGTCTGACACAGATGCAGATGATGTAGAAGAAGCAGATGATGTGGAAGATGATTGCACCCGCCAAAGCGTGATAACATGTTTGATTTTCCAGGGATCCCCTTTGTCGTGGCCCTGAATCAGCGGTTCAGGGCCTGTACACTACTTGCGCGCCTACGCGAAGGCCTACGCAAGCCTACGCGGCCTGCGAGGGGCGTCTACGCGATCACAAGTCAGCTTCCAGGTGCCCACCTACGCGGGCAAACGTTGAGTTCAAGTGTCCAAGTGCACTGTGGCAGCTCCAGCTGGAAATCGCAACTTTCCAGTGCAAGTGCAGTTTTAGCAGCTCCGGCTCTAAGATCAGAAATGCAGTACAAGTGAGAAGCCAACATCTGTCCAAGGATCTGGCTGCTAGCATTGTAAAGCATAAAGCTTCAGACAACACATAACAACTGCATCAAGTGCCTACGCGCGCGGCTACGCAAGAAGGATGTGCGCGAAATGCCTACGCGATGCCTCCGTGCGCCTACGCCCCCCAGCTAAATTGCCTACGCGGACATGATGCAGTTCCCTTTTTGTATAAATCCTTGATTCCAAGAAAAACACGCTGCCCAATTGGAAGTTGCTGTTGTTTGCTCCTAATCATCTCCCCTTGTTCCCAACATTGAATATGAATATACAATGTAAGCATGCAAGGCACGAGGCATCGCAACAGAAGAAAACAAACAGGAACTGTCCACGTTCACGTCGATACGCCTGTTGGACCATGCCGCAACTCAAACTACGGGGTGGCGAATGGGTGTTGAACGGACAAGCAGTGGAAGATTGTCTGAATTTTCTGAGCTTGGTCACTCCAGCGACCGAAACTTTCCATTTTCCATCTTCCGCCTGCACGCCGTCTGGCGAGCCCGTCTCGGCACAGGTGAACTGGGCGAGCAATGAAAACAGCGGGATCAACCGCAGCCCGCTACACAACGCGAGGCAAGCAGAAATAATAAGAACAACAATAATAATAACATATAATAAAACTAGTACAAAAAAACGAGGGCACCGACCACACTCAGACCCCGCTAACTCGACATGATGGCCGACCGGCGCGGGGCCTTGCTGGAGCCTGGAGACAGGTTCCCTTCAGTCGCTTTTGGCGCGTGGCAAAGACGTTGGCGCGCGCC